CTGGCGCCGGGCGGTTACAATGTTCGGTCCCAGCCAGTCCTCCAAGGCGCAGTTCCTGGACAAGGCCCGGCAGGCGCGGGAGGAGCGGCGGGAGCTGAAGGAGCGGGAACGCGCGGCGCTGCAGCTCCAGGCGCTGGTCAGGAGGTTCCTCTGTCGCTGCCGCCTGCAGAGGGAGATCAGGTGTGTGTGGGGTTTCACCCTCTGCTCCTCCCCGCTTGGGTCGGCTGGGTTTTTAACTACTGATGCTCCTCCCGTTTCTCCTAGGAGGGAAGTGGATGATTTCTTAGGGGCTGATGAGTCTGGCTCGAGCAAGAGAAGTGCTCTTTCCATCTTCAGAATTGCCAGGAAGCTGCTGTTTGTGTTTAATCAGAAGGAGGACAAAGAGGTAAGGCTGCCACTCTGTGCTTTTCTTCATTTCCAGTACATATTTTAACAAGCTCAATATGTTTAATTAATTTCCTGTTATTATGTTATTCCTGCAGTGTCTTTTGGCTTCAGAAATGTGACCTCTGTCTCCCCAGGCCTTCTTGGAGAGATGGGCCTGTAGGAATGAAAGAGAAGAACCCTTGAATTTTTTAGTAGCAGTTCCATATTCAGGAGATGGCTCAAGGACAGTGTTTCCTGGTGGCTTTGCCAGCCTCAGGGGTTGAGCAGTGCCCATGAGCTGGGTCAGCTGCTCAGTGCCCCGGGCAGGTCCCTTGTGCCAGGGTCCCCAGAGAGCTTTTCTGGGCTGTTTGGGTCAGTGCTGCCCATGCCCTGAGTTGGTGGTTTCAGAGTGAAGCCCTTTGCTGTAATGCCTATAAAATGATGATATTTGCCCCAGGAATCTGAGGGCTGATTATAAGGGAAACAACTAGAAAATGAAAAGCTGTATTTCAGTTCCAATTACAGCAGCAGCAGGTGACTCTGTTCTTTTGAACTTGTCTTCTGTTGATGATGGTGCAAGTCCTGCAAATGCATTTTTCTGTATTTGCAGCATCAAAAAAGAAAAAAAGGTGTGTATTACACAGATTTTTGGGGTGCCTGGCATCCATCTGGGGTCTTGCAGTTCAGTGACCAGGCACCTTGCTGAAATATGTCCATTCTGCTTCCTCTTCTTCCCCTTCCAGCAGCAAGTCAGTCCCTTGCTGGGCCAAGGACAAGGCTGTAATCATTCCCACTCATTTCTCCCAAGTCAAGATAACCTCAGCAGCCAGTTCTGCAGCTCAGAATGGCTTTGGAACTGGCACGTGGCACATGGAACTGGACTGAAATAATAGTTAAGGAGTCGTGGGCGTGACAGCCGAGCGGTGCTTCGAACACACTACTGCACTCAGCAGCACTGAGCTCTTCTAGCTGGACTCCCAACAGGAAGATGCTTTTCCTAGCATCAGCCTGTGCTGTTGAGGGAGGTGTTTAGCAGGAAAAGCTGAGGAATCCCTGTCCTGGGCTCAGGGAGGGAACTCCTGCAGAGCTGTGGTGTGAGAGGCAGATATGCCCTCCAGGCTGGAGCCTTTGGTGCTGTCTGTGTTGGTGTGATGTGGAGGTATCTTGCTCCCTCTGCTGAGCTGTTCCTGCTGCTTCTCCAGAATAGCTCTTCCTCTAGTTACAAATAATGCCATTTTTTAATTATGTTTTTCCCCCTCCAGAGATTTGAAAAGCTGTGCCGGTGTGTTCTGAATAGTATGGATGTGGAGAATGAGCCCAAGGTCAGCAGGAGGGTGTTTTGTTTGGGGCTGGGGGAGTTGTCTGGGCTTTTTAATTCTGTCTGGGGATTTAGGTGGGTGATATTTGAATTTGTAGCTATCAAAAGCGCCTGAGCACTGTTGAGAGTCCATGGTGAAAGTCTGGAGAAGTTCTTTAGTATTCCTCTGGTATATTTACTCTGTGTACAGAGTTGAGGGGCAATTTCTTTCTGAGGTGGGTGGCTTTGACCAGGGAATTTTGAGGAGAGAAATGACTTGCTGGTTGAGTAGGGCACTGAGAAAGTCGTTTTGTTACGAAGCTTCCTGGTAGTGTCTTCTGCCAGCCAGCAACACAAATAACCCCTGCTCCCCTCTGCCCCTGCTTCCCCAGGTATGGTATGTGTCACTGGCACTCTCCAAGGATCTCACACTCCTATGGATCAAACAGATCAAAGACATCTTGTGGTTTTGCTGTGAATTTCTCAAGCAGCTTAAGGTAAATATTTTCTTTGTGCTTTGTCTCCCTGCCTGTCACAGGTCTCAATGTGTCACAGAGCTCTTTGGTTTATTAACCTTGGTGTTTGATGTTGCAGCCTGACATCCTGCAAGACTCCAGGCTGGTCAATCTGCACCTCACAATGCTTGTCACCTTCACAGATACTTCCACCTGGAAAATCCTTCGGGGAAAAGGTTGGTGCATCCAATTTAAGCCACTGATCTGGGATTTACCATTAAAAACTACTGGATGTTCTGCACCTTTTCTTCTCCCCACAAAGATTTGCTCTGCTTCTTTGCTTGCAAAAAGCACAGACTGGGCAGCAAGGATTCCCTAGAGATCAGATGAGCTGTTTCCCTTAGAACAGCAACAGTTCTCATGTTTTTCCAAAATCTCTCCGATCAGAAGTGTTCAGAGGATGATGGGATGTGGTTTTAGCTCTGGGTTTTTGTAGGAAATACACAGAGAAAAGGTAGGCAAGTGTTGGAAGAAAAGGTAACTCTCGTAGCTTAAACAAGACTTGATGTGAAATGCTGTATAGAAGGGCAAGGACCTTGTGCAGGAAGGGCTGGTGAAGTGAGAAGCTGTTCTGCAGGAAGAAGAGGGGAGGCTGTGAGGCTGTGTCAGTAACATCCCTGTTTTAACTCCCAAGGTGAAACCCTGAGGCCTGCCATGAACCACATCTGTGCAAACATCATGGGACATCTCAACCAGAAGGGCTTCTATTCTGTGTTGCAGGTCAGTCTCAGGCTGGTACAGTTCTGTCTCCTCCTGGTGGTCCTTGTTCTGAGGCAGCTTTTGTGGTCCCTATGGGGGTGCTGGGGAGGCAGTTTGTGGGGCACTGATGGGGCACATTAACTTGTTTGTTCTTCAAAGCACTTGAGACCCAGTGCCCCATGTCCTTTTGGCCAGCACTGCTGAATCTATATCCCATTTAATCATCTCATAATGAGTAGGGCAGGAAGGACTCCTGCCTGTTTTTCCAAGCTTTGCTCCTGCCCTTTTGTATGGATTTGGTTTGTTGACTCTTCTGCTGGGGGAAGGAACTGGTGTAATTTTTCTTAATCTTTTAAATTAGACTTATATTACCAGGCAGCAAAGAGCCTTGCCTGTTAATTTTGAAAGGCCTGGAAGCCCTGAGTGCAGATCCTAGAGAAATGAGTCCTGTGGAGTGTCTGGTTTGGCTGCAGTTCCTTACTGGTACCATTTTTAACCTGAAGCCCTTTTGGTTCTGCCAAGTTGCTCCTAGGACCTGGGGTTTCAGTTTCTTTGGTGTTGAGCTTTTTCTCTGCTCTGAAAACGAACACAATATCTTTGTGTTTATTCTACTGGAGTATTTGTAATCATTTTCTGAGTACTGCAGGGTTTTGGTATCTTATTTTGGGATGTTTCTTCCAGATTCTTCTCACTAATGGCTTGGCAAGATCCAGACCCTCCCTGTCCAAAGGCTCCCTAACCGCCATCTTCTCCCTGGCGCTGCGGTAAGGCACCACAGCTGCTGGGGGTGGCTTTCTCTCTGGTTTTGAAGACTTCTCACCCTGCCAGTCTCTCTGTGCCCTTAAGAGTGTCACCCTGCTGAAAGAAGCTGCTTTAGGCAACCAGGTTTCTCACACTGAAGTTTTGTTCTCTCTGCAGCCCTGTGGTTGCTGCGCAGTTCTCGGACAATCTGTTGAGGTCGTTCCTGATCCATGTCATGTCTGTGCCTGCTATAATGACTCATCTTGCTACTCTAACACCTGAGGTGAGTGGGTGAGGTAACAGTGACAAAAATCTGCTAAATATCACATAAGGCCACTTGTTATTCCATTTTATCAGCTCTTGGAACAGAGCGTTGGCATTTCTCTCTTGGCCAGTTTCAACTCTGTGTTGTGCAGGTGCTTCATCCTTCCACCCCCCAGATACTTTGGGCTTTTACTACCACAAATGTTATTAACATCAGTGGGATGATGGGCTGAACTGCCCTCAAAAAAGTAAATAAAATCAGAACACAGCATAGTGACACACAGCTTGAATTTTTGCATGTCCTTATTCTACCCTTTGTGTAACCACAGACCAATCCAAACCAAACCAGACCTTTGCATGGCAGAGGATCCATGATGGGAACTCTAGGCTGTCCTGACTGATCCAGTTAAATCTTCCTGCTCCTCTGTGTGGTTTTGTGCCAAATTAGCCTTCTGTGTTCTTACAGACAGTTGTGAAGCTCTTGTCTATAACCAGAATGTGGCCTGTTCACCTGCCAGGTTAATTTTGTTTCCTAAACCAGCTTCCTGTCAAGCACATTATCTCTTCAGTGCAACAGGCTCAACTTGCTGCTTTATTTGGAGAGAAAAGCCAACCCAAAGTGCTGTGGCTGATCAGGTGTGGCTGTTCTGTGTGGTGCTTCTCACTGGCAGGTCAATTGTGTCTTTCAGCGTCTGGCAGTGATAGAATCTCAGGATCTTTTCCGCAAGTTCATCCTGTTTTTAAGCCGTGAAACCCAATGCAGAGATGTCTGCATGTGCCTAGAAGGGAGTCACACTCTTTGTCTCTTGGGTAAGTGCCTGTAACACTTCTTTTTTTACTGTGCTTCAACAGGGTTTTGAGTCAGATCTTTCCTCATGGGTAAAAGTTGCCTCCAACTCATCTTTTTTTTTTTTGTTCTTATTAAAATAGTTTCTAAATAACAGCTGAGATACATTGTGGGATATTGCAAACATGGTTTGAGGCCCTTTCAAATGGAGGAAGGGTCAGAGACTTGCACTTGTGTACATGTAATCGTGCCTAAACTGGGAAGCATCATCTCTGCCTGGCTTTTCACTTGGGCTTTGAGGAAGTCCTGCAGTGTAGCAGACTGGAATCCAGCTTCCCTAACCATAGGGGCAGCTGAAATTCACATTACTGTAAAAGTAATAAGGAACAGTTGAAACTTGGGAATACCCATGGATGTAGTATTGTGTTGGAGGTGTTGTGGGACACAGCTGAGAAGGTGGCCAGAGTGACAGGGCATCTGAGAGGCTGATGTGTGCTGGAAGTGGCTAGCTGCAGGGCAGCCTCTGGTAGCCATTCCTCACAGAAATCCTCTCCTGACCTGGACGAGGGGAGTGAACTCATTTTGTTTGTTCTGTCTGTAACCACTGTCCTGCAGCATCTGCTCCTCTTGTAAGTCTTGCTGTGCTGCTCCTTCTCCAGGGAACCTGGTGTACTTGGGCTCCTTGAATGATAAAGTCCTGGAAGAAGAGACAGCTTATTTTGTGGGTGTGCTCATCCACATGCTCTCCTACTGCCAGAAGTATGTTTCACAGAAGAAATCCAACCTCACCCACTGGCATCCTGTTCTGGGCTGGTTTTCTCAGACTGTGGATTATGGGTAAGTGGGGAGAACCATGTGGTGACAAGTCACTAAGTCTCTTTTTCTTTTTAATGTTGCAATATGCTTTATGTTTTGCAATGAACAGTGTGAGCCTGTTCAGAACAACTCCTCAGATATTTCAGGTGGTATCTGCACAATATAAACTGCTGCATTCATATACAGACTATTTCATGAGGAAACTAATTAAGGATAGTCAGACTGGTAAGCAGTGGCCATACTGGTACTCTTGATATGAGCCTGTATATCAGCTCTTCCTTTGAGGACCATCTGTAGGCTGGGACCTTGCTCCATTTTGCCTATAAGCTGAATGTATCAAAGTGTCACTGCCTGGTGTTTTATTCCAGCCTGCCTTCTAAAGTGTCTCCCTGACTTGTCTCTCAGATTGAATGAGTCCATGCCTCTGCTGACCAAGCAACTGCAGCATCTCTGGGGAGTTCATATGATCCGCATCCTCTTCAGTGATGTGCTCAGCAAGAAATTGCTGGAGAATCAGGAAACAGCTCAGCTGGCAGCACAGCCAGTTTCCCCTCAGAACAGCCTTCCCATGAAGAGTGAGTCCTGGAGGGTTGCTTTGTTGCGGGGGTGTGTGTGTACCTGTGTCTTTCTCTCACACTCACAGGGCTTTGACTCTCCCACTTCTGCTAAAAGCTTTGAGTAATTTCTGGCAGCAGCTGCTGCTGCTTAGGTGGAGATATGGTCTCTTCTGTTTGTAATTCCTGCTTAGGGTGCCTCTGTGACCTGGGGCAAGTCTCTTACTTCAGTGCTGTGGAAATAGTTGCTTATTTTAGCAGGGTTTTTTTCATTGTTTCTCCAGCTGTTAAAGTGCTCACTGCATAACTTAGTACTTCCCAAGGCAAGACAGGAGGCCAGCTTCACCAGGTGAGGAGCAAGGTGGAGCTGGCTCATGGGGCTGTGATACATGGTGGTTCTGCAGCAGAGTATTTGGAACAAGACAGGTGTAATGAGCTCTTTTCTAGCTGCTGCCACAGCACTGAGTCCTGTGGCCATTAGTTACTGAAGTTGTGGTGAGGTTTTAAGCCCCAGAGAAAAGCCCCCACTGAAGTTCTCTGTTGTTAGCAGCTGGACAGGTCCTGCCAGAACAGTGCACCAAAGCCTACTGTCCGTAGGATGGCTTAATCTGCTTAAAGTCCTCTTGATCCTGTGGCTGAGAATAAGAGCTGGTTTGGAATAGCACTTCTGTGGCAACATCTCACATGCTTCTCTGTCCCCAGATCTCTTCAAGAGAGCTTTCCAGAAGTCTGCGTCTGTCCGCAACATCCTCAGGCCTGTGGGGGGCAAGCGGGTGGACTCAGCAGAGGTGCAGAAGGTCTGCAGCATCTGTGTCCTCTACCAGACCACACTCACCACCCTCACACAGATCCGTCTGCAGATCCTCACAGGTCAGGGCACTTCTCTGCTTTCCAAATCACTTCACGTGGGGGGGGAAAAAAAAAAAAAAAGATTTTTCTTATTAAATTCTGTTGACTTGTTGGTAGTTTTATTACTGACAACAGTTTATTGACTGGCTGGGTGGAAGGCTTGTTCCATCCTGAATCATACATCTGATCAATAGCATTCATCACTTCTTTATCAAGCATTAACTCTCCAGAATACAAAATGAAGCAAGTTTTCCTATAATGAAACCTTGTTTAGTCCCTATCAAACCTGAGTCAGTGTTTTTGAGAAGCCTTGCAGCATTCATCTCCCTCTGGTGCAAACACTGAGTGCTTTCATAGGTCTTAAGAACAAATTGCCTGTCTTAGGAATGGGTGCAGGAGGAGATAAGCACTGTTTTGGTCTGGTGGCTAGAGCAATTGGTCTAGGACCTTGGGTGCTTTGTTTGTGGCTTTAATGGTGACCACAGGCACAACTCCCTTCTTTGTGTTCTCAGCTCTAAGGCTGTAGTGGTGATTGGATCCCAGGCATTTATTCTTTTCTGAAGTTGAAAAATAATTAGTGGGAAAGGGCTTCAGGTGTGCAAACAATGACTTATTCAAAGCTTTTTTTTTTTCTGCTTTCCTGGTGATTGGACATCTCCTGTTAATGCAGACAAGCTGGGGAGCCAAGTGTGATGCTTGTGTTCCCTTCAAGTGAAGTGTTGCTTTGCAGAAGGATCTTTCAGCTCCAAGTCATGAACCCCCATGAACCAGCAGGCAGGGCCAGCTTTGAGTGTGCTTTGTTGTTTCCATTGCTAGGCCTCACTTACCTGGATGATCTGTTGCCCAAATTATGGGCTTTTATCTGTGAGCTGGGACCACAGGGTGGGCTGAAACTCTTCTTGGAGTGCCTGAATAACGACACAGAGGAATCCAAGAGGCTGCTGGCCATGTTGATGCTCTTCTGTGACTGCTCCCGCCACCTCATCACGTAGGTAGCAAGCAGAGGGTGCTCTCTGGGTTTGTGAGGTGTTGTAAGCTGTTGTGTTGCTCAAGCTTCAAGAGGTACAGTACAGGTGTTGCTGCCTCTGCATGAAGATAATGGGGCAGATGAAAGCAGCCAGCTTTTCAGATAGTCCTGAGAAATAATGAGCTTCAAAAGGACTTTTTCCCTCAGCCTGGTGCTGCTTCAGGCATGTACAGCTGGCTGAACTGGTAACAGGGAAGTACAGCCCTGCCTGGGGAGGAAACTTTTCTTCTGCTTATGGGCAACAGTCTTGTCAGTCCAAAACACACACTTTGGTGAGTCCAGATGAGCTTTGAGGAACACAAAAGCTCCCCAGGTTATGTGCTTCTGTTTAAAACCTTTTGTTGTCTCCCTCATAGACTTACACGACACAAAGGATGGGAGAAGGAGTGGGAAGTTGTCTTAGTAGAGACTGTTTTCTTAGCTTGAATGTTGCAAACATTTTTCTGAGGGGGAGTGCAAAGGTCCTTTTAACTACAAGAAACCAGCTTTGCTTGTGTCTCAGACCTCTGACACTGCCTCCTGCTAGGATCAGATATCAATCAGAATCAATAAACAAGGTTTGCTTGTTTATGACTATAGGTCCTTGTGGGTGTCAGTTGTCATAGAAATAAGAGCTGCTGCTAAAGGATAAAGTGCCTTTATGAAAATTTCAGAAGGGAATTAAATTTACCCTTGTGCATTTGCATTTGTGTTCCCTGGTAGGATTCTTGATGACATTGAGGTCTATGAAGAGCAGATTTCATTCAAACTGGAGGAGCTTGTTACCATCTCATCTTTTCTGAATTCCTTTGTGTTTAAGATGATCTGGGATGGAATTGTAGGTAAGTGCTTTCAGTAACTTGAGTTGAGGTTAGTATTAGAACAACAAATTAAATTGATTTTGGAATTTGAAGCTTCTGCTAATTACTGGTTTGGACAAAGACCCATACTATGTTGTGTGGCATGAGAATATCTCCTAATGTCACTGTCCAGATGCCAGTGTTGTGCTTGGCACCAAATTCAGTGCACTTTTTCCTGTTTCCAGTAAGAATTTGTTTTTTTGGCTTTTGCTGGAGACTGAGTTTAGCAGGACTGGGCCATGAATAGGGCAAGAACATTCCATGGTACCTTGACAAAGCAGAGCAGGGTTGTCACAGCCTCCGTGGACACCTGCTGTAGAGCTAGATGCTGGTGGAATTTGGGTACAGCTCAACGAGATGAGGTTGTCCACTTCTGTTGTGGTGGCTCAGCTGGAGCTGGCTGAGCTGGCTTTCATGTGGCTTTTCCTCTTTGGTCCAAGACAAGACTGTCTTCTGGGAGGCCCCAGGCCTCTCCCTTCCCTCCGAAGGCAATGAAGGTTAGAAATACACCCATACCCTCTCCCTGTGGGGCTCAATATGTTGCTGTCAGACGCTCCTGTTACCTGGGGCGCCTGGACATGGGTGCTGTGTTCCTTTTGCTCAGAGAATGCCAGAGGGGAGACCCTGGAGCTGTTCCATTCTGTGCATGGCTGGCTGATGGTGCTGTACGAGCGGGACTGTCGCCGGCGCTTTGCCCCCGAGGACCATTGGCTGCGCAAGTGAGTGCCAGGGTGGGGTGTGCCTGGCTTGTCCTGCAGGGGCAGCTCCCCTGGGGGATCCCTGCCTTTCAATGGAGTGCCTCTAGTTCTGCCAGTGGGATCAAGGCCAGAGCTGTTTAAGGATACCCCTCCTGGTGTGTTGGTCCTCTGTGGATTAGCTGCTGCTTGGGGAAGGTGATGCTTTGGAAGCTGACTCAGCACCAAGCAGCTTGAGTGTCCCTGGCCTTCTTAGATATGTACTCCTGAGTGCTGAAGTCATCTTTGGAATCATTACATTTCCTCTCCCACCCCCAGCTGTTTCTACACCTGGGTGTTTCTCAGGGGTCTCTGAACACCTCTGCCTTTCTTTGTCAGGGACCTCAAGCCCAGCGTGCTCTTCCAGGAGCTGGACAAGGACAAGAAACGAGCCCAGCTGCTCCTGCAGTACATCCCACATGTCATTCCCCACAAGAATGTGAGTGAGGGCAGAGAATGGAGGCTGCAAAGCCAGTGGCCTGGGAGGGAAGGGACGTGCATCCTGACGTGTGTCCTTGGCTGGGAACAGGACAACAAAGAGCTTGTTGTGGGTGTGCGTCATGTGCATCTGAACACCCTGCTGCACTGAAGGATGAGAGTCCTTGTGGGTGAAGAATCTTATTCGTTGTTGTTTTTTTTTAAGAGGGTGCTGCTTTTCCGAAATATGGTTACAAAGGAGAAGGAGAAGCTGGGGCTGGTTGAAACCAGCTCTGCATCACCTCACGTCACACACATCACGATCCGCCGCTCCCGCATGTTGGAGGTGAGTGATTGCAGGAGCAACCAGCAGGGCAGTAATTGACCTGATGAGCATGGAGTGTGAATATGGTTTTATCTTCTCTGTGGGTGCTGCGGGACCCAGTGCCAGTTCTGTCTGCTTGATGCTACAGGAAATTGTTGGACCTTAGTTCAGTTAAGACTGCTATGAACCTGGTGTTTTGACTAGCAAAAAAACCTGGTCTTTTTTGGACCCAAAATTCATGACAAATGCAGATATCTGTGACATATCTATCTCCTCTCTCTGCTGCATCTCTGCATGGGTGTTTCACATGTCCTCCTGGCTGATTGTCCTCTTCTGGTCTGTGTAGGATGGGTATGAGCAGCTACGGCAGCTTTCCCAGAATGCTATGAAGGGAGTGATCAGAGTGAAGTTTGTGAACGATCTAGGAGTTGATGAGGCTGGTATTGACCAAGATGGTGTCTTCAAAGAGTTTCTGGAAGAGATAATAAAGAAGGTGTTTGACCCTGCACTCAACTTGTTCAAGGTGTGACTTGGGGCTGCAGGTTCTGGCTGGGGTGAGCTGTTGCAGGGGAAGCAGACTGGCTCACTGGGCTGTTGTCTGTTTGTGTGCAGACAACCAGTGGTGATGAGAGGCTATATCCATCTCCAACGTCCTACATCCATGAGAACTACCTACAGCTCTTTGAGTTTGTGGGGAAGATGCTTGGGAAGGCTGTATATGAGGTGAGCCAAAATTGTCACTGGATATTGTCAACTCCTGTTCCCCAACACCTGAGCTGCCTGCAGGCCTCAGGTAACCAAAGATGTTGGATGTAACATGTATGTGGTGGAACCTGACCTATTCATTCTTGTCTGTAGGGAATAGTTGTGGATGTGCCATTTGCTTCCTTCTTTTTGAGTCAGCTGTTGGGGCACCACCACAGTGTCTTCTACAGTTCCGTAGATGAACTTCCCTCCTTGGACTCTGAGTTCTATAAAAATCTCACTTCAATTAAGGTTTGAGCATTTCCTTTCCTGTTGTCCAACTCTGTTATCATTGACTGCTGCTGGAAAGACTAGAATTGCAAATGCCTTTGGGGTAGTGATGTTCTTTTAAAACATCCTGGAGGTGATGGGTGGTTCTGAGGCAGGTTGGCAGGTGGCTGCCCTGTGCTTTTACCAGGGCAAGCAGGGAGGAAAATGGAGTCTGAAGTTGTAAACCTGGAAGTGGCAGTTGGGAAGTGCCATGCTTTAGCCTCAGCTCTTGTGCAGTCTCCCCATGACCTAGAGAAACTCGTGTAGTTGTTGTGCTTTGGTGCCTCATGCCTGCTGGGGACCACTTAGAAGAGGACTGCAGAAAGGCAGAGCTGCTCTTCCTGCTGCCAAGCACTGACCCTCTCTCCCTGTCCCTCCAGCGTTATGATGGCGATATCAGTGACTTGGGCTTGACACTCTCCTATGATGAAGATGTGATGGGTCAGGTAGGTCTTATTCAGTGACTCTGTTGAACCTTGTCTCAGCTTTGTTCCAAATACCCTCCTCATGCCAGTTGGTGACAACAGAACTCTGAGCACTGATAGTCAGAGACCACAGCCCTGGCTCAGCCCCATTTCTCCCGGTTAGATCTGAGCTGTTCCCACAGGAGCATTTCCCTCACTCGTCTCATTGATGCTACCAGGAAGAGCCTTTGAAGCACTCGGTGATCCTGACAATCATATAAACAGTTGGGGGCAGAACTGGGTTGGACTCCTTAGCAGAGGTGTCCTTAGAGCAGAGAAACACACTTGCAGTCTGACTTGCCAGCAGAAGACAGTCACTATTCCCTGCTGAGCATTCTGAGAGCTGGTGTTGAGCATCTCCAGGTCAAGCAGTCTGTCCAAGCTCAGGCTGCACTGAGTGCTTTCTACTTCTGGTATTTGTGTTTTTTGATGTGTCAGGTGCTCTGTTTGCCCCCTCTGAACAAGAATCCGAGGGGGACTGCCTGATCAATGACCTTGGCTGTGATGGTAGTTGGGGCTTAGATCTGCTCTCCCTGCATAAAAGGCAGGCTCAGCTTCAGAGGTTTGCTGAACTCAGCTGTAGGATTCTGCAGCTTTGTTCAATATTTGGCTGTGGGCAGACAACAGCTTTTTCCACAAAAAAAATTGCCTTCTGACCCATAATTTCTCTAGAGCCAGGAAAAAAGGTCTGTGTAAGGAGAATTTCCTTTTCCCTAAACACAGCCATGTCCACCAGAGAAGCTTGAAATGTGTCAGGAGGCCTCTTGGTCTTGAGAGGTAAAGGCTGTTTGTTGGTCCCTTGTGAAGGCTTGAAGGTTCATGGTTGCTCTTGAGCCTTGGGTCCTGTGATGATTTGTGTGCATAGCTGGAAGATAAGGGGAGATAAGATAAAAATGCCTTTGCTATCTACATGTGCTGTTGCTGCTGCAGATTCTGTGAGGAGGCCCCAGCCAGCCCTGAGCCTGGGCACTCTTGGCAGCCTGGATCCAGAGGCACAGAGCTCAGAGACCACTAAGTCATGGAGCCTGTATCTGGGGCAGCTCATCCTTGAGAGCTTTGTGTGCTTCTTATTCCAAAGCTGGCTGCTTTGGACCTGGCCTGCACAGGAGTGGGAGCAGCCGTGGCAGAGGAGATGCACCTGCAAAGCTGCCAGGGGAATGGGAAGGGACCTGAGTGTGGGCTCAGCCCTGCTCCACACAGGGGAGGGGTTGCACCCGCTGCACAGTGAGCTCAGTACCCTGCTGCTGGCTCAGGGTTGCTGAGGCTCCAGCTTTGAGGTTTTTTCCACCTTAAAAATTAAGGTGGGAAACAGCATAGGAGAGCCCAGCAGGGAGACATGGGAGGCTGCAGCACTCAAATCCTCAAAATAAAGCAGGGTACTCCTTTTTGCTGGGTGTCTTGGCCAGGCTGAAGCAGCCAGATGAGGTAACCAGATCTCAAATGAACTTGTACATCTCCACTAGGTACAGCCCTTGCTGGGCACAGGGAGCTGAGCTCATTCCCTCTGCTGGGCTCCTCTGACCTTGGAAGTCACCTGGAACTGAAGTACAGAGGCCACAGTAGTATGTGAATAATGACTTTCTGCCTCTTAATGTTGGGGCAAAGATGAGTTATGACTCTGTTGCAGTAACAAGCACCCAGAGGGTCCCTGCTGCTGTCTCTGAGCCGTGCTGGGGGCTGAGCAGCTGGGCTTGGCAGGGCAGGGAGGAGATGCTTCCCACCTGGCTCACTTCCTGATCATGCCTGGAGTGCCCAGCTGGAGGGACAGGGAGCTCCAGGGAGCTGTCACTCAGGTGGCCCAAATGAGACCTGTGGAGCAGAAAGCTTTGGATTGTGCTGTTAGACTGAGCTATGAGCTTGTTGGGCCTCTGGATTCTGGGCTCGTGACAGTCCCCTGGGGCTCCTGGGACTGATTTGTGAGCTGTTCAGCAGTGATGGATCACACTTCAGAGGAGGCTTCCTCCAGGAAGGGCTGGCTCCTCCACTGGCAGAGTCACAGCTCCCTACTGTTCAATTACCATGTTAATAGTTCAGTGAAACTGGTTCAAGGCAGAATCAGGATTATTACTTAAATTTTAAATCCTACTGTTCTACTGTGAAAATGAATGTTTTATGGGAAGGTCTCAGCTTAGCACAGTGTTTCTTCCCATTGTGGTTCCAGGCAGTAATTAGCAATACAATCATTTCTTCCTTCAGCTTGTTTGCCATGAACTTGTTCCTGGAGGGAAGACCATTCCTGTTACCAATGAAAATAAGTAAGTACAGCAATTAGATTTTTAAGGTCAGCACTGCAAAATACTTTATTGTAGTTCCTTGGGCTTGCATCTGGAATGAATTGAGATAGATTGGAGTAGAAGGAGCACATAAATATCTTAATAGAATTTACTGGTTACAGTTCATCGGCAGAAATTGTATTAAATTCGATTTGCAAAATAAAAATTGACAATTTACTTCTTGAAACAGCACTTCTGAGGTCAAAGGCACACAGCCTGTGAGATTCTGCAGGGTTTAATGACGGTGATGGATACAGACAGATGGATTCAAAGCAATTCAGGCACACAGTCGTGAACATAGAGGGCACAGATGCTCAAAGACACCTTGGAGCAGACAGATCTTCTCAGAATGATAACATGTGGCAGTTGTATAAAGCACTGCTCTTCAGAAGAGACAGTGCTGAATTCAAATGCAGTCGACACTGGTACTTTAGACACAGGAAATCAGAGGAGACACCGAGCCCTGTAGCTATTTTCACAGATAAGTGGCTTCTAGATAGTTATCGTAAATGTCAACTCTGGAGCCTGAAAACCAAACCCACCTTTTTGTTCCCTTCATTTTTATTTTTTTTTTTCTTCTCTGTATACCCTTCAGTGATCATAAAAGCAGGATAAAATATCTATTAAGCAGATGTGTGTTTGAACTGGTAATCTGGGGGCTGTTCTCTTTAATGGTAAGTGAAAGCTGGATCCTACCTGAGGATTTGTCTTTGTTAGTCGTGCTTTGCAATCTGATGTTCCCAGTCTTCCCTTCCTGAGCTCTGACCAGGGAGTTTGCATTTGAAAAGATCTTTCTTTGGCTTGTCAGAAGTCAGCTCAGGGAGAAAGCTGAAAGTCCTGTGTGTTGCTCTGCTCTGAAGCTTTTGTGCAGCTGTGCACACAGGTTGGTACTTGGAAGGGAGCAGGAGAAGCATTGTACAGGGAGGCAATCTGGAAACAGTTCTGCCTGATAATGGTGGAGTGAGATTACCTACTGAACACCCAGTCCATGTGATTGTGGTGGTGTCTGCATAGGAGCTGATGGAGAGGAATCCACAAGCTGGGTTGCCTTGACTGTTGGTGAGAAGAGGAAGCCCAACAGTGCAGCTCTTCCATCCTCCTGGTGTGAAGGCAGAAATCTCCCAAGTGTTTTTTGGTGTGTTCATTCTCCTGGTGTGGGTTTAGCTGTAGGTGCATCAGAGCCCAGACAGTTGTTTTTCAAACCTACAGAAGTGCCTGTGATTGTGGATCTGATCCCTTAAGAGAGAAGCTGGATGCTTCTCAGCAGCTGCGAGCTGCTGTCTGGCCAAGGTTGATCAAGTGATTATTAGAGCCAGGTAGTCCCTGCTTTGGGATGAAGTTCTAAGAAATGAGCAGACAGTTATAGAGGCAGAAGGTGGGGGGCAAAGCCTGTGCAGAAGAACAGCTCTTTCTGCTGAACTAGAGAGCAGGGCCCAGGAGGGGAAAGTATAATGAGTCTCCAGGCAGTGCTGGCCCCTTTGGGGCTAGAGAGACAGGTCAGCAGCCTTGCTCCTGCGCCGCTGAGGTGATGGTCTCGCTGTTCCAGCTCCCTCACTGCCACCTTCCCTGTCACACACAGGATCAGCTACATCCACCTCATGGCTCACTTCCGGATGCACACACAGATCAAGAGCCAGACAGCAGCTCTCATCAGTGGGTTCAGGTCCATCATCAAACCTGAGTGGATTCGGATGTTCTCTGCACCGGAGCTGCAGCGGCTGATCTCTGGTGACAATGCTGAGATTGACCTCGAGGACTTAAAGTAAGTGAGCAACTTGGGCTGCTGGTCTTCTAGCTCAGCAAACCAAGCTGGTTTATTACAGAGCTGTTGGGGGGTTTGCAGGAGATTCTTCCATACCTTCCATACCTTTCTACTCCTAACTGGAATTTGAGGAGCAGACAGGAATGAATGAAACTCAGGAATGTGTTCCTTATAGCTAATTTGGACAAAGTACTAATGAATTGGAAGGGTCTTGTGGTCCACTGGCTCCTGGCAGCTGTGACCCTCCTGCTGTGGGACAAAAGTCTGTAACAACCCTTCTCTCCCCAGAAAGCACACGGTGTACTATGGGGGCTTCCATGGGAGTCACCGAGTCATTATCTGGCTGTGGGACATCTTGGCCAATGACTTCAGCCCTGAGGAGAGAGCCATGTTCCTCAAGGTAAATCCAGCCCCTTAGCCTGACCTGTTTGGGGTGGCTGGGCCAGTGCTGTTCTCCTGTTAGCTGGGTGCTTTCTGCACGGGTAGGAGGAGTGTCAGAATGCTTGATGCCCTAAAATCCAGCATCCTGCTCCCCTGCAGAGGGGCAGCTGTGGAAGCAGAGTTCTATAAATGCACTTGTGTCACCATGAAAAGGCCTGTTCTTAAAGGCCAGCAGAGCTGTGCACTAAATCTCAACAGTGTTGTACTGTGGGGTGCTGGAATGCCAGTCCAAGCAGCTGTCTGCTGGGGCTGCCTTTGAGCCAGGCTGCTCTCACTGCTTCTTCCCCTGTCTGTCACTTTTCCAGTTTGTTACCAGTTGCTCCAGGCCTCCACTCTTGGGCTTTGCCTACCTCAAGCCTCCTTTCTCCATCCGCTGCGTGGAAGTCTCTGATGATCAGGTATGCAGTGCCCTGCTGGCTCCTGCCTGGTGTGTTCCCTGCCAGGCTGCTGGCAGCCTCCTGCCCTGCCCAGCTCTCCCAGGTCTGGCTGACCAGGGAACTCTTAAGACGTGAAGATACAGCCATACTAATGGGATGTATGTGGCTGCACCTGCCTCGTCCCACACACAGCAGCACTTGGGCTCCTTCTCCTGTCTCCAGGGTTGTGTTTCCCCTTTGAACCTCCCTGTGCTGCTGATCCCATTTCCCTTTGCCCCCTGTGAAGGGACCTGCACGTGTGGTGGCAGTTGCAGTTACAGGAGAAGCTTTGGTGGGGGACAGAGCTTTTGAGGAGTGACTCTCCCTGTTCCTAGCACCTCCACCCTGCTTGGCAGGAGGAGCAGAGGCTGCAGGGCTGATGTCTGTCCCGTTGCAGGACACAGGGGACACGCTGGGCAGCGTCCTGAGGGGCTTCTTCACCATCCGCAAGAAGGAGCCGGGCGGGCGGCTCCCAACCTCCTCCACCTGCTTCAACCTCCTCAAGCTTCCCAACTACAGCAAGAAGAGCATCCTGCGGGAGAAGCTGCGCTATGCCATCAGCATGAACACTGGCTTTGAGCTCTCCTAGTTGCCCTGGGCTCAGAGCTGCTGGCTGCTGCTGGAGGTGGAGGCCTCCACACACAGGGCATGTATAAGCTCCACGGGAGACGACTGCTCACTCGAGGGCTGGGGAGATCCAGCTGATAATAAGGGTTTACAGGGAAGAGCTTCTGGGCCAGACAGAGCTGGCTCTTCTTGGGCACTTCTCCAGGATGAAGGAGGTGATGGGCCTGACCCAATACACTTCATTTGACACCCACGTAAATTGTCTTTAAAAAGCAAACCCCGGGGGAGCGCAAAAGGAACACTGCAAGTGCCAGTCAGATTAGTGACCGTAGTACCCCCAGCAGGCTCTGCAGCCTGGGCAGCTGCTGCTGTGGGAGTGTTTCTTTTTCCTTTCCCAGGACATGATCCAGTTTCTTACTGGGTGGAAGTCAGTCTCTGGGAAGCTGCTCAAAGGCAGAACCATGACAGAGCCCCCAGGGAGACGAGCTCGAGGCGGCAGCGTTGGACGTGCCACAGTTGGGCACTGTTAACTCAGGACAGGTACTGCACGGGGGCTTCCTCAGGCCCCTGTGTTTCTCTCAGAGAATGAACCACTTGCCCAGACTTCAGAAGCAGCAGGTTAAATGCAGGCAGATGGACCCTGCTACTCTCAGGAAGGTTTTGGAGTGCTGTAGGTTAAGAGCTTGAGCAGCAGGCACGGAGGTCAGTGTGCTGAGCCAGCTGTGCCTCTGCCAAGCTCTTGCCAGAGCCTGTGCTTTGGACGAAAGGGTTTGTTGTCTGGATTTGCTCAGGAGCAGAAAAGGTTTAATTGTATTTAATTTCCAGGGGACAGGAGCTGGCACACAGCTCAGGCAGCCCTTGCTCCCCAGCATGGTGCTCAAGTGGGGCAAGTGCCCCCTGAGCTCTCCGGGTGGGGAATGCGTCGAGATGCTGAGAGCCCTCTGGAAACCTCTGCTGGCAAAATTCCTCTTAACTTGGAGGGAAGTTTCACTTTTTGCTGGCTCCTTTGTTAGGAAGATGTGCTGCTTTGGACCAGGACTTGGCCTCTATGTGACAGCCACGTTTTCTTTGTTGCCAAACTGTTTACTTGGTTGCTTTGTTTCTTTCTGGCCTTATTTTTGACAGTTGATGTTTGCCTGTAGGAGGCAGCTTTTTCAGGTTGTTCTGAAAGTGAGAGTGTGGGGGGGGGGGCACCCGTGTGTCTTGGGAATGTGTGAACCCTTCCTGCCATTTCTAATGAAGTCCAGAATCTGTTCTGTAAAGTGTCTCTGCAGCTTCCCAGCCTCGGTCCCTCGTGCTGCTCCAAGTTCTGCCTCAGCCCGGGCTGGCTGAGAGCACAGGCTGCTGCCCCGTGGGCTGCTCTGGGCTTCTGGCACAAAGGAAAGCCATGTACCTTCTCCTGGTGGGGACAGGGTTAAAAACCAGTCACTTTCTCCCCTTCCCCTGTTGCTGCTTACTAATAAAACAAGCTCCCACAGATGCTGCAAGTATCTCCCCTGTATTCCTTTCTCCTCCTGCCCATCCTGTGCCATGGGTGCCCCTTGTCCTGCTCCCTCTGCCCTTGCTGCTCATGGGGACTTGCAGCAGCCACTCCTGCTCCCTGCCTCACCCTTTGCCTTGCCCTGGTCCAGCTCACAGGGATTCACATCCCATCTAGCACAGGTATCTAGTGTGGAGAAGTCTCCCTGGGCTCCTTGGAAGACCCTCATAACCATGATCTCATGCACATTTCAAACAACCAGACCAGACTTGGCACCATTCAACCAAGAATACAGAGACAGCCTTTGCTTCATCTTTCTCTTCTGTCTTGCCTCAGCTGGTTTCCAGAGAAGTAACCCCTTTTTTGGAACCAATGCCTGGAAATGCATCTGGAAAGCAATGCCAGGATCTTTTTTCTATGTCAACTCAGTAATATTAAATAGGAATGATGGGCAGTGTTAGTGAGGACAGGAATGTCTGCATTCAGAGCATTCAAGATGCTGGACTAAGAGTCCAGAGAAAAATATTATAGTAATTTTTTATTATTATTTTATTTTACATAGAGTGTTTCAGCATTAACCAGTTGTTGAATGTGCATTTGAGAGGTTTAGGCACTGACTTGTACCAGTTGTAGCTTAAAATATCACACGAGAGCTTTTTTCTTCTAGGGAAATGCAGTGTCTAAATAGAGCACAAAGATTGTTTGATGCAGTGAGTTATTGAACGCAGTGAAATAAAATCTTTGCTCCCTTTTTTCCCTTCATTCCTCAGGAGTACAATTCCTAGAAAAGTTCTTAATGCAGACTTAGCTCTCTAAACCTGGAAATATTGCACTATGAGACTCTACATCCAATTTTGTAGCTAGCCTATAAAACCTGATTGTCTAGTAATGGCCCTGGTGGCTGTAACTTCTTTTGGTAGCTGATTTCTGTAAGTCTGGGAGGCTTTGATATGTTTTTAGCTGAGCAGAAGGTGGTGGCTGTGCCTGGGTCCCCCTGCACTGCTGTGGTCTGTGCCCCTGTTCTTTGTAGGGCAGGGATGGGTTTGCTGGGGGAGATTAATGACTATTTTTTCTATAGATGACTTGCTGCTGGGGAGACCATGGTAACATCCCTTGTTGACAGAAATGCAGGGAAGTGAAAAATAAACCTGATGTGAGTAAGATGGTTGGATGTCTCCTCGTCCTTTCACTGGGTGTAGTGCTCCTACTCAGAGTGGGGGGTAGAGGAGGGGGTGGAGCTTTGGGTGCTGGTACCTCAACTGGGAGGGGGGAGGCAGGGAAAGAGGTGCTCAGCAATGCCTTTGTCACGCTAGTTCCTGGGGCATGTGCTGAGGTGGCCCTGAGGGATGGGCTCTTTGGGGTGCTGCTGATGGTGGTGGGAGTGCCTCTGAGCCTGGAGGGCCTGGCAGCTGTGTTTTGAAGCAGGATTTGTTCTTGTGCCTTGGAGTGTGCTTGGAAAATTGCTGCTTGGTCCTGCAGGATGCTGTGGCTTCACTCTGGTACCTTCATGAAAGCAAAGGTGGAGGGTGGGGGTGGTGAGCCTGGCTGAGCCAGCAGAGCTCTGTGCACAGCCCGGGGCAGCTGGAGAGGGAACAGGGCTGGAAAGCCAGGCCAGATCCTCCAGTGTGGGACAGTGGGGCTGTGCATGTCCTCAGGTGCTCACTGCAGATCCCAAATGCTCCTTTCCAGGAGCTCTGCTGCAGGCAGGAGCTGGAGGTTGGTGGCAGAGCTGCCTCCCCAACAGGTTCTGCTGTGGGTGCTGGGGTTGGGTGGGTGGTGGGGCTGGATCTTCACACTGAGGGATCTGACACCTCTTGGATTAGGGAGGGAGAGGAGAGATGTGGGTTTGTGGGGCAAGTCCGTGCTTTGTGTTTTAGAAGCTACCAGGTACTGGAGCCAACATATGGGGGTTGTTGTTACCAATGTTATAATAATAATAATCCAGGCATCGTGTTTCTCTCCTAGCTCTCGCAGCATCCCTGTAGGAATGAGGAGCTGTGCCTGCTGCTCCAGCTCCCCCCTGAGTTCAGGTTTGGTGCAAGGCAGCATAGCCCCTCACTCCCTGGCTCCAGAGCCTGCTGCAGCCCTCCCTGCCCCATCTCACCCTGCAATGGTGGCCCAGGAGCAGGGTGCTGGGTGCCTGCTCTGCAGGCGCTCGCTGGGGAGAGGGAGCAGGGTGGCAGCAAGGAAGAGGGCTCCCAGTCAGCGTGCAAGCGCCATTGTTTTGACACGCAGGCATATGGTGCTGTCAGAAGCAGCAAAAAGAAACCCCTCAGCAGCTGCTGCCAAGGCAGGAGCTGGCAGGCACCAGCAGGGCCGGGGAGCTCCTGCTGCCTGTGCCCTGCCCTGCGCCCACCCACGGCCAGTCCCACCCTGCCCCGGGCACTGGGGCCACGGTGCAGGCACAGGGAGGGGTTTGGGAGCAGACTGCTCTTCTTGCTGCTGCTCAAAGCCCCTGTTTTATGCCACCACCTGGTCTTCCCTCCATTTGATCCCACTGCTTTGCACCTTCCCAGCCTGTGCTCCGTGCTGGGACTGGTTGCTGGTTTGGATGGAGCAGGAGGAGAGTGTGATGAGCTCTGGTCTCCCCATCCCTGAGCAGATGAGATGTTCCTGCAGCTTATTTTTGTGTTTGCTCATGTTTACAGAGAACTGTAGCAGCTCCTACAGCACATCAGTGACCTGACCAGCTGACAGTCAGACCTGTGGCAGTGGCTTGGGACCATCTCCTCCCGGGTGAGTGGCACTGGCATTGCTCCAAAATGTGCCTTTCTGGCTGTTTCCAAAGTTCAAGTTCTTCAATACTGGTCCTGTGCAGCTTCACCTTCCCCCAGGGTGGTTTGAGCACTAGCTGTGGCACTCTAGGATGGGCACAGAGTTGGGGGTCCTCTGTGCCAGGCTGCAGCAGAGGCAGAGCTGAGGGACCATGACAGCCCTTTCCTGCACACAAATGGGCTAAATCTGCTCCTGTCCCGTGCAGGGACTGTTGCTCCTGCCCTGGGGCACCCCAGCTGCACACCTGCCCTATCAGCCAGGTCTAACCTTGCTGTTGCATGGACTGTTGGAGCAGGGAGGGGTTTTCTTTGATGCCTTCCAGGCAAAGAGGGTATTTGAGGGGCCTGTGACTGTAGGGGACTTGACCCCATGGCAGATGTGGGCCCTTTTGGTCCTGCAGCTGGAGAGGAGGAGTCCAGGACTGCTGCTGGCCCCCCAAAACTCATCCTTCAGATGCAGCACCACCCCAAGCCCTGGTGAGGTGGGAGCAAGCATGGATTAGTCCTCCTGTGCATGAGCAAACTCTGCCTTGTATAAATTTTCATAGGACTTGGCAAAATGTATGTTTGTGTCATTTCTGCAAGAGCAGCAGCAGCTCTGCTGCTTACACATTGTAGCAGTAATAGAGGTGCTTGAGTTATAGTGAAACTTATTTCCTTTTACAGCTCCTACAGTGTTAACAGATGTACAGGCATCTGATCCAATCATGCAGCAAGAGATTTTGGGGCCAGTTCTTCTAGTTTTGACAGTGTGTAAGCTAGGAGCAGCCATACATTTTACAAACAAGAATAAACGACCCTTAGCAACATATGTCTGTGCTGGCAGCTCCAATGTAATCATAAATAAGGAACCCTGCTAGGCAGGAATGTGTCTGGGCTCTGCACACAGGCAGTATGGACAAAGCATCTGCCTTCCTCCCATTATATTAATGAGGTGCAGGCACTGGAATCCCTGTGCTGTATGGCTGGAGTTGCTGGGTGGGGACAAAGGACTTGGAAAAACAAATGCTAGCGCAGAGCAATGGAGCTATGTTTGTTTTCCAGCCTGTATTTCATTCCTGTGACACTTCCCCCCTGCCTGCTGTCTTGCCAGGCTCCTGTGCATTGCTGTGTTGTGCTCCCTGATCAGCAGCAGATGCCAGCTTGACATGCTGGAACTTCCCTGAACTGGGCACACAAGGTCGTTTCTTCAGCCCCTGTGTCCCCTTGTCCCTGGCCTCTGCTCCCAGCCCATTGTAGAGGGTGCACTGGAGTCCCAGGACCTGGGTCTTGCTGCAGCTTAATGGCCTGTGAACCTCAGGGACAGCATCAGGACAGAAAGGTCCCTTTTAGACAGCCCAGGGCTGTACAGGAGGTGATGAACCAGAGGACAAAGCTCTCAAAGGCCCAGCGTGGCCCCTACAGTTCTGCTGACCCCACAGGGCTGGGACCACGCTCAGCCTGATCTCTGCTCACCCCTAAATTCAAGCCCTGGCCCAGTGTCCCAGCTTAACTGGGACAAGGGGGTCACCCCAGTCACCAGCTTCTGTCTGCATCCAGCTCCACCAACATATTTGGGTAGAGAGGAGGGGCAGCTGGAAGCTGAGTGCACCCCAATAAATTTAATCCCTGCATCATGTTAAAGTGTAGCAGCTAAATTTATTTCTCCTTGCAATCAAAGCAATACTAGCTTTGGTCCCAAAACAGCAGTGAGATTTCTTCCCCCTAGCTGGAAAAAAAAAGAAAATACTATAAATCCATTCCACAGCTGATTTATATTGCATTCATGAAGAATTTATATGGCAAAGAATTTTATTCAATTAAACTTGAAAAGCCTCTAGATTCCTAAGGTTCAATAGTGATCACTAAGACAGAGCTATCATAAAGCTGGATGGCCTGTCTGGAGCAGGCACTGAGGAAATGTCTGCAGTGACATTGCAGCTGACAGTACAGTCCAAATCAAGAGCATTTGTCACTGGGATGTGTTACAGGCCAAGGCTCAGAAAATTACTCTGTGAAAAATGTGCATTAACAATAGCCATGAAATATCTGTTTAAAAAAAAAAGGGGGGGTTTGGTGAATAAGGAGACAGTGCTATCCATGAGTGTTGGGCATTCTTCACTCTGACCCCTGCTCTGATTAAAAAGTTAACACAAAAGCCAGAGACTCTTTTGGGAAGCAAGTTTAAGGTTGTTTCTACTTAGATAATCGAAGAGAGGAATCTGTGATTGACTGAAAAGCTCCTGCTGGTAGGAGTGGCAGCCCGAGTGCAGGACAAGCCCTCCTGGTGTGTTCCCACCTCCCAGTGATGCTCCTGCCTGTGAGGAGAGAACTTAAACCGCCCCCCTTCCCCTCCCCCTGTCTGACACGTGTTCTTCCCTATTTTATTTCCAAGCTGTAGGTGGCTTGGACTGAACCATAAAGCTGTGCCTGTCAGCATTCTGTGCAGCACAGGTGGGAGGTGTCCGCTCACTCAGCTGGCTGTGAGGCACTGGGTTACTCACACAGGATGGGTTGGGCAGATTTCAGTCCATTAGGAAGCTGGAAGAGGACACCTTCCCTGTGAAAGCACCACGATTTGCCAGCGTGATCTTTGTGTCCAGGTTCTCCAAGCTCTGGGACCCATGGCAGTGATGCTCCAGAGGTCAACACATACATCAGGTGAGACCCAAACCCCTCCAGGTTGGCCTGTCCCCCAGCTCTGTCAGCCAAAGCAGCACCAGGTCCCTGCGACTTATCAAAACCCCTTTTCCTCTGAAGTTCATGACTCAAGTGGTACCCAGGAGATTAATACTCAACCCAAAGAAGGCCCCACTCCTTCAGCCAGCATCTGCAGCCAGGGGGGGATGCTGTGACTACACTTGGAGGAGCAGCTCCTCACTGAGTTACCCCCCAGCTGCCAAAACAAAGCTTAAGAGTCACAGAATCGTCTTGCCTGAGCAGTAGAATTTGGCCCTTCTTCCTTTAATCCCTCTATCCTGCATGAGCCCTATTCCTGGCAGAGGATGCACTGGATTGTCAGCACAGAGACATTCTTCATGTGCACAGAAAAAGGCAGCCAGAGCCAAAGAATTCCTAGTGCATTCCTGTAAATCTGCACATCTCAGCTTCAGCCAGGGCTGATGGATTCAAAGCAACTTAAAAAAGAAAAGCACGCTGGGCTCAGTGTTACAGCACAACAGTTAAGGGCCCTTTGGTACAAGTAAATCACATTTATTATTTCCAAGCTTGTGGACAGAGTTTCCCACTTCCTGCACAGCTGCTGCTCTGTACATCATGGCTTACAAAGAGAAGCTGATTGGTTTTCTCATCCCTCAGAGTCCTGTCAAGGCCTTTCAAAGCACCTGCTGCTGCCCAGGGAAATTCAGACACCCCTAGACATCAGCTGCAGTCCTTTGAAGTCTCCTGCCTCAGCTCCAACCCAGGGCAGACAGCAGCTCTGATGCCACCTCTGCAGTGCTAGAGCAGGGACATGTGAGCAGAGCAGCTGAGCTCCCTGCAGCACGTGGGAACAAGGTCCTAGTCTGTTAAGCTGGAAGTTCTTGGCAGCTCACACTTCCCATCCACGCTTGTTCTCTTTCCGTTCCTTGATGGGGCAGAACAGAGTGCTGGATTTAGCTTCCCCTGATGAAGGAAACAAACACTCCAGCTCCCAGTTATGGTTCAGGCTTTATGTATATTTTTTCTTCCTTCCCTTCCTTCATTGCAGCGTAACGCGCCAACACGAAGAGGAAGTCGCTCAGCCTGGAAGCCAAGGGAAGAGCAGTGAAACCCCTCCCTGCACCAGGTGTTTGTACCCAGCAACACACACCTGCACAGCACAGGGCACTGGATTAAGGCAGAGAGACACCACACGAGAGGGATTCCCAAAACTGCAGGCAGAAGGTGAAGGGAGGGCTCTCCCAGCACCCCCTGCAGCCACTCCTGGACAAGCTGCTGCTGGGAACTGCAAAGATCACCTTCTAGAAAGGGGGCTTTTTGAGAGGGAAACCCCCCGGTTTGATCCCAAGACTCAAGAACAACACGGGGCACACTTAGTACTGAGTAAAGGTTTGGGATTTTAAATTTTTGTTTACCTGTTTAAGTATTTGGCCACATTGGGATCTGCTTCCCCTGCTTGTACCAAAGGCACCACGCTGGAACAAGAGGAAGAAACTTGTATTTCACTTTCTAGCTCTGCATGCTCTTACAGAGAACTGCGATTTTTTTGGAGCCCAACCGTTCACACCCAGCCACCCCCCGGAGCCCCGGGACTCCCCACAGCACAGTGTGAACGCTGGTACTTCCCCAGGAACAATCCTGGAATGCAGCTCATTTCGGGAACTGCAGGGCTGCTCCTCAGCGGCTGTCACGGGACAATGGGAGCAATTTGCAGGTGATTAACACCTGAAGGATCATTATCCTTTTCTGCAGGTAAACTGGGCTCCTTGGTTTGTTGAGGGAACAGAGCTGGTCCTTGCTTCCTCGTCCCTGGATCCCACACCTGCCAGTGCCCACCTTCCACCTGTGCCAGCCTCCAAAATCCATCTGCAAACCCGAGCTGAGCCCAGAGGTGCATCTCACCCTGGATCTGTTCCTTCTGAAGATCTTGGCTCTGGTGACCCAGTTCAGGGGAGGGAAGAGCCTCCCGTTTTGCTGATTGCTCTCCTGGGACTCTGACTAACACAAACTTGACTCCAGCTCCACACACACTTCCCCCCGGTCCCCCTCCCCCTCGACAGGCTTGATTGCTCCAACCGTGAGGATTTGCTGTCTCTGGTCACCTTGTATCCATTTCACCCCACACTCACCACCTCTCAGCTCTGCGGCAGACAGCCCGGGACAGGTGGAGGGCAGCACTGCTTTTACCTCCTGACTGAAACAACAATGGAACAGCCCGTCAGTGCCTGCAGAGCCACCATCCCTCACCGTGTAGCTGCAGCAGAGCTCATCAACCCCCCAGGCGTGCAGCTGGACCCCGTGCTGGGGCTGGCAACTGGGGAGAGAGATCTGGATGCTGCAGGATGTGGAGATGGAACTCAACTGGGTCCTGCTCTCTGCTGTTGTTTTGGGTTTTGTCCACACAAATAACAGCCTCACACCCTGATTTCCCCCAGCAAAGGGCAGAGCAGGTGTCCCCTCAGGAAGGGAGGCTCTTCCAGTCAGTGAGAGGCACAGGCAGTACCTACTGGCAGGATAAAAGCTCGGAGTGGAGGAAGCTGCTCTGAGTAACTGTCAATCCACTGCTCCAGCTCCAGAACTGGCTTCTCACTGAACGATGTTCGTCCTACAGAAAATAGAAACCCAGTAGAAGAAAGGCAGGAGTGACCCAGTCTGCAGAGAGAGCTCAACTTTCACATCTCTCTGACCAGTAAGAAAGCAACCCTCCTCCTGGAGCAGGGCTGGGTCTTGTCCAGCACTCATGGGTGTGTGTCACTGGAGCCACACAGACACTCGTGGGACGGTGTGTGACCCCACCCAGCACCCAGGCAGGTCCTGTGGGGCAGCCCTGGGCCAACTCCAACTCCTGCACACCTCAACAGCCTCCCCAGCCCCCATCCAGAGGGACAGCAGGGAGTCAGGAACTGGTATCCCAGGAGAAGCACAGTGGAGCTTACTCAGGTGAGCCTCCCTGGCCGAGGAGAGCGGCGTGGCGATGTTGGAGCCCACGTCCTGCAGCATGCACTGCACCTGGAGGTGGGAGCAGGACAAAACCAAGCACTGCTTTCATTACCCAGCCTTTGATGCTGCAGTTCCCCTGCAGCAGAGCTCTGGGAGCGACAGCTGGTTGTGCTGATTAAAGGAGATCCTACCCTTGCTGTTCACCAGCCCCCAGCCTGCTGGCAAGGGGGATCAGATAAGTGCTCCCTAATTGCTTTATTGAGAAGCCATATTAGCACATGGACTTGTTTTCACTGGCACGTTAAAACACCCCAGTTGACTCTGCAGAAAGCAGACTGGGGAGTGCTCACGTAACCCCGTGCTGGGAGGACACCCAGTAACCCCTGGGAGAAAGGCAGGGACACACAGCTGCAGACAGAGCTGGCTTGGTGTCACCTCCCCTTCCAAGAGGGGCACCTCTCAGCAGCCCTGGATACTGGGGGAGCAGCCTGGTGAAGCTTTCTGATGTCTCTGATGAGCTCCTCCTGCATTCTTATGCACAACAATGCTAATTAGCACAACCCACAGTCCCACCATCGTGCCCACGTGGTCACTTTGTCCCCATTTCAAACCTGAGGCCAAGTGACAACAAGACTTGTTGCCCAGGACCATGTACAGGTCTGACTAAACCTAGAGCTCTGTTCATCTGCCTGCAGCTCCTCACTCCATCTGCCAGCCTCCTCCTTGAAGAAACCTATTTCTTCAAAAGTGATCAAGGGTCAGAGTCTTAAGTGTTTTAATACTAAATTGATTACCTTCTTGTGTGGCAATGGGAGCACTGTGACTGAAAGAGCTTAAGAATATGTTTCAGTAGCTCAGATGAAGTGACTGCACTGGGTGAAGACTATCATTAATACTCACTTTGTGAAGCTGTTCAACAAACGTGTGGCCCTTTTCACTGCTAAATTCACCAGCAAGCCTAGGTAAAAAAAAAAAACCAACATACAACACTAAGTTAGCTAGAAATGAAGCAATGTTCCTTATATTCCCATTTTCCATAGGAAAAATGCTCCTGGGTGTTTGTCAGTTTGGTCCATAGGGTATCCCTTCCCTCCTGCTGGGTGGTGGGGCTGGCAGAGCAGCTCTTAAAGGCAGAAGATGCCCAGAACCCCCCCCCAGAGGGCAGCAGGGCTGGTTATGGGCCATAAGAACAGATCCCAGTGGAACAGACCCCCCCAGAAGGGGGCCCAGGTTCAGCCCGTCCAGCCCCGGAGCTCCCAGGGCCGCCCTGGCAGGAGGTCGGGCCGGCGGCAGGAGGGGTCCCCGGGGCAGGGGGTTACCCGATGGCCGAGCTCAGCTCGTCCGTGGCTCCCAGGGCCTGGAAGATCCGGTCGCCCTTGGGCCTCCGCTCCCCGGTGAAGGTGCTGGAG